GTGTTATTATAGTAAAATATAGATATAGTGTTATTATAGTATTATATAGATATAGTGTTATTATAGTATTATATAGATATAGTGTTATTATAGTATTATGTAGATATAGTGTTATTATAGTAGGGTTTTTTTTTCTTAGAGTCCGACTGTTAGACAAATTCACAATTCAAGTGGAGGATAAAAGTCACAATTTAAAAGTTGTTTAATTGTTTTCACAATTAGGCTGTATGTGTTTACAATGACCACTATTTCTTTTATCAAAAGTGTATTTGATTAGTAAATCTTGTTTTTTTCGCTTGCTCACGAAATTCTCAAACCGGTTATTTTATTTTCTCACAAAATCTTGTTAGATACCCAACCAAATCGCCTAGATAAAACCTCGATCATAAGCCCATTTCCGTGACCAGCTCTGTTGTACAGTAAGAACATAAGAACAATGATAAGAACATAACGAACTTATCCTGTCAGCGTCCATACGCCGACCCTCGATTCGTATCTAATTACTAACAACGTAACCTGATCCGTCACGATGCGCGTGGCCTCGAGATATATCAAAAAACACGTGGCTGCTTTTTCAAACTGTGTTGATTGTTAGCGAACTATGTTTGCATCCCGCGGCACGGGTTTAGTATTGTATTCACCTTTACTAGTATATATTATAGTGTTTACTATAATATTGTATTCTGTGGCCTCGAGATATATCAAAAAACATGTTGCTGCTCTTTCAAACTGTGATTTTTAGCGAATGATGTTTGCATCCCGCGACGGGGGTGGGGCGGTCATCGCCGTGGTGTGATCGCGTCGTAGTTGTGTGATAATTTTCCGCTCTTGCAGGGTATTGCGGACGAGGGCATGCAGAACGTAGCTGAGGGCTGTCACAAGCTGGAGTTTCTCTGCATATCCGGCTGTACGGCTCTCACGGATGCCTCGCTGGTGGCACTCGGGCAAGGTTGCACGGAGCTGAGGTGCGCACGCATCCCCTGTCAGTGCTGTCTCGCTTGTCGTGTTCAGTTGTTAGCGTTGGCTAACTTAGTTATAATCAGTGATCAGAGTTATTCGCTTGGTTATAGTCAATGGTTAGAGGTATATGTTTAGTTAACGTCAATGATTAGAGTTACTTATTTATAACGTCAATGATTAGAGTTACTTATTTAGTTATAATCAGTGATTGCAGTTACTTGCTTAGTTAGAGCCAGTGATCACAGTTACTTGCTTAGTTATAATCAGTGATCGTAGTTACTTGCTTAGTTATAATCAGTGATCATAGTTACTTGCTTAGTTATAATCAGTGATCGTAGTTAATTATTTTGTTATAATTATCAGTGATCGTAGTTACTTGCTTAGTTATAATCAGTGATCGTAGTTACTTGCTTAGTCATAATCAGTGATCATAGTTACTTGCATGGTTATAATCAGTGATCACAGTTACTTGCTTAGTTATAATTAGTGATCATAGTTACTTGCTTAGTTATAATCAGTGATCGTAGTTACTTGCTTAGTTATAATCAGTGATTGTAGTTACTTGCTTAGTTATAATCAGTGATCATAGTTACTTGCTTAGTTATAATCAGTGATCGTAGTTACTTGCTTAGTTATAATCAGTGATCATAGTTACTTGCTTAGTTATAATCAGTGATCATAGTTGATCATTCATTTCC